TGTAAGGAAGGGATCCAGTTTCAGCTTTCTACATATGGCTAGCCAGTTTTCCCAGCACCATTTATTAAATAGGGAATCCTTTCCCCACTTCTTGTCTTTGTCAGGTTTGTCAAAGATCAAATGGTTCCTTGTCTCTAAAATATAAATAAATTAATTTATTCTATTAATCTGCCTTTCATCAACTGATTTTTCAGTGAACCTTCAGAAGGCAAAGGGGAAGTTTTCCCTTGGCCCCCACAGACCCATGCTGGGGGACGTCCTGAGGATGGGTGAGGAGAGAAATCTTCCAGGACAAGGTGGGACTTGAGCTGAGCAAAGCAGGAAACTCATCCTGACTTTGGTGGGGGCTGGGGGGAAAGGTGCATCAGGCCTGTTGCAGGGGAGGTGAGGCAGTTGAGATGGGGAGGTAGGTTGGGAGCAGGGTGGTAGGAGTTGGTGAGGGAGGAGCCAGTCTGGCTGTACTTAAATGGCCACACAAAATTCACTTTGGGTGTAGGTATGTGAGGTGCACCCTAAAGAGGTGGATGGTGCTACTGCAGAGCACTCATAAGTGTGGACGTGTGAAAGGACTACTTAGGGCATATTCATGAGCTCAGCTCCAGGTAACATGTCCCAATCCAGGGGAGCAACAACAGGACTTAACTATTTAATGGTGGTTAATGATCCTCCTGGTCATCACAGCTAAAAAAGTAGACTCACATATCCAACTTGTTCCAAGCTTAGTTTTCCAATAACTGAACTGAGTACCAAAAAATATTGTCCTTTAATGTTTGCAACCACATTGACAAAAATAGTTTATTTCTTTTAGAAAAAGTGATTTGACTTTGAAGCAAGAGCATATCAGTTGCAAAACTACACCTATTCAAGTTAAGTACATTTGCCAACTTGTGTCAGTTTGGTACCATTAACATAAATTCAAAAATGATATTGCATAAATTCAAAAGCCACTCTAAATTTCTCTTTTTTTTTTTTTTTTTTTTTGAGACGGAATCTGGCTCTGTCGCCCAGGCTGGAGTGCAGTGGCCGGATCTCAGCTCACTGCAAGCTCCGCCTCCCGGGTTTACGCCATTCTCTTGCCTCAGCCTCCCG